ATGACCAGTCGGCAGAGCGAGAGTAGTCGCAGGGTGGCACAAGTTGAAGGAGGTCAAAGCTTTGTGGCCCTGTAGACGGACCAGCGGGTTTAGTAGAAGTTGGAGGTAACAGTACAGAAGAGCAAGACATCCGTGTAGTATACACGAAGTGAGAGGTCGCGTGATCAAACCAGACAACACCACAGAAGGAGCAAGTAACTTCCTACTGCTTGTTTTCTGTCTCTCGATTTGTATATTTTACCATTTGGAAAATCTTGAGCTCTCTTCGACTCAATACTGTGTGGTAGGTGTGTCTGTATTTTTTTTTGGTTTTGGTCGTTTTAGTTTTCGGTGTTTGGGGACGCAATATGTCCTTTTCTGCACATTCTTTTTGTGGCCCGTCCAAATCCCACACGTTCGAGGATTCAAACGGTGCAAACCTTAAATGAGGAGGAATGGTCTCGGTCGGTGCCTTGTCGTTGCTTCCCCGGGTGCTAGTGTGCTTGTGTGAGGTTGGTGATGACGTCTGAATTTCATCATCTCCTCCCCGTAAGCTGCCATCCTGTCCTTGCTTAGCAAGTACCCCCCGACCGCCCCCTATTGTGCGTGCTCGGTCCAATCTACCCGGTTGTGTGCCTGGCTTTCAGGGATCTTGGGAGGTGGAGCGGCGGGCGTACGGGAGGGATTCGCGAAGGCGCCCAACCGGAGATCTCGGGTCCTTCTGAACAGCATCATGAACCACGCTGGCAAGAAGGGCTCCTTCTACGGCAACACCTTTGCGGTCCTCGGTGAGTGAGTCGACAGGCAGGTTACCGGTAAGGGCTATGTACATTTTCTGCCCTCCGTCGTGCGGGGACACACGTTTTGGGCGCGTCTGCAGTGTTTGGTGATCGGCTACCGCCGTGACGCGCACCTCTGCTTGTGCTTGGCCGATGGTGCAAGGGCGAGTGCCCCACGCCTCCTCCGATTAGATCGAATTGTTGTCTTCCCCGTGCCGCCAACGATACGGTGTAGAGCAGCACCTTGTAACGGCGTGCGAGGGGGGCACGTGTTAAGCTTCATTCCGTATGCAGGTGACCTGCATTGAGCAGGGCAAGGGATAGAGAAAAAGGTGGAATAGCAACAGAACAAAGAGAGCGGCAGTGAGAAAGCACTGCCAAGGTTGCGGTGGATTTGTTTGCACGCTGTACCGATAGGCAGCAGGCAGGTAGGTCTTCTCCGTTGAGAGATCCAAAAAAGAGAGTGTGAGCAGGGCGGGCGGTGCCACAGGTGGTCCGCCCGCTCATGCCAGCAACTGCAAAACCCGTACCATGTATGTGTATCCACCAGTGGTCTCCCGGAACGCCTTTTTTTTGTGCCGGATTTTCCTACAACAACGCATGTGGTATGCGCATGGAACCTACGAATGCTTCCAAGATTCTTGTCACCTACAGCACATTAATGCATATTTTCCCCGCTTGGAGAATAACTAAGAATGGTTGAACGGATGTCACCCAGCACGAAGAGGCCGTTGTACGGTAGTTTTTGTTGTTGTTGAGATTTTTTCGGTGCGAAGGGACGGAAACACATCCGGCTGGCTAGTCCTTTCGTCCAAGACTTCGTAAGGAATTGGACCGTATTTATACAGCCCTCTTTCGTCATTCTGTAGCGGTACGTTTTTTTGTTTTGTTTTTCGTCGAAATGGTTTCATCCTCGGATCTCTCTCTCACAACCGCCCCCCGTCCGCCTCTCGAAACAACGCCACCCTTCCAGCAACGTACTACACTTGCGCGGAGACCCTGTTGGACCACTTTGAGGTGGATCAGATGGGACCGGTCCAGCAAGCGGGGCTGGGAGAGATCATCAACCCGTTGCTGGCGGGCGCGTCGACCGGCCTCCTGTACAAGAGCTCCGGTAAGATAACATGCGTCTTCCCGTTGCTGGCGTTACAGCAGTAGTAAGGGTCGATATTAGTAGCGTTACCGTGGTGGTGGTGGTGGTGGTGGTGGTGCTGGTGCTGACAGAAGTCTCTGCTGCGGTGGCAGGCATATGGGCTTGGAGTTTGTGACGTGCTTTTGATGAAATTGGCGAAAATAACACATGTTGGAAAGGTATTGCATTTTCGCCTTCCAAAGTGAGGATGGTTGCGGGGGGGGGGTTCCGCACAGAGAAAATTCGCCGGCTGTAGGCCCATCCTCGCAACTGGCATACCGCGGGCTATTGTTCCCATTGCCCGTTGGTATTTGCAGCACCGTCCTGTTCTCGAGTCGCGTTTCGCAGAAATACCCGACCTTTCGCCTGCCTCTCGCGTGTCTTTCTTTGATGGCTTGTGCAGCGGGGCCAAGATTGGCGTTGATGGCTTCCGTGGCGGGGCTGGGGGCTGTTGGGGTTGCCTACGCGGTGGACAAAACGTCGGCGTCGGTGCTAGGACAGGGCATCATTTTCTAGAGATGATGGGCAATGTATTCTTGTTTTTTTGTAGGGAAGGACCGTGCGTCTCCGGTTCTTTCGATTTCATTCTCCGTTCCTTTTCGTTTTGTCGTGGGAAGGGCACGTCTTCGCGCGTGTTGCCTTCTTGAGGGGTATGAACTGTCTTTGTTCTTGGTCTAGGCAGGCCACTGCTGTGTTTGATTTGGAACGGTGCATTCCCTTCGACATGTTTTCCCCTCCTTCCGTTTGGTGCCGTCCCTCTTGAGTAGCCGCGTTTTTTCCCTTTGCCCAATAGTTGGGCATTGAGGGGTATTCGAAATCGCGGTGGCGTGGACCTCAGTTGTCAAACCAAAATGCTCTGACAGGAAAATCACGTTTTTTAACTGGAAATAACACAACAATCTGGCTTCGTTTGGCTTTGCCTTTCCTGGCCAGTCGTCGTTGTATTCGGATTCGATTCTCTCTTGGGCAACACAAACAAACGATCCATTCTCCGACAAACAAGCCTCAGCCCCTTTCATTTTCACTTTTTTACAGTGCGCCCGCCTATAGTAGTGTGAAACTTGAATCTGGGTTTTTATGATAGTGCGAGTGATACGGGTATGATCACCGTGGCTTGAGCTGGGCTTCAATGCTGAGCAGAACCGTTGCCCCTGTGCCTGACGACAGCTCGCCCAGCAACCTGATATTTTGTGACGACCCTCACGCACCCCGTCTTGTGGTAGCTCCCAAGAACTTGAGGCCAGCACAAGAAAAAAGTTGCACGCGAGCGCTTCTAACAGTATCGACAGCGCGCGACGCGACGAATATGTATATGTGTGTCTTTAGGATTAGCATCGACCGCGCTAACCGGTTGACCGATGAAAATAACGTTGGTCATAGTGTGCGTTCGTCCCGTTCTAGCGCCAATCTACGCATGCATGTCATATGTCGGAGTAAGTGTATCTTTGACGAAACAGTCGGGGCCTGCGGTGGGAGGGATACCATGGTTGTTTGTGGAGTGAAAGATCGCTCGGATTGCGCATGAATAAATACACATGATGATGTTACCGTCGAATCGTGACTTGTGCCCACGCTGCTCGTCTTGCCCTCGGCATATTGCTTGAGGGCGTTACAGCAGCGCCGCCACGTCTTCAATGCACACCCGCTAGCGAAATGGCCAACCACGTGCAGCAGTAGGTGCACACGTGTCCTGCTTTTGCGGTGTTTGGTGTGTCGTCGTCGTGGTTTTGTTGTGGTTGTGGGGTGCGGGGGGTTCGATCCTCCCCCCCGAATGAGACCGCCCCCCGCGGTGTTTGCCATCGGGGTTTGGGTTTTCGTCGCTTGGCAACGACGTTGTAAAACAAGCCAATTCACTTCGTGAACTCGGCAACCAGGTTACCGGTTTTTTTTTTTACCTCGTTTTTTTTTTTTTGGCGGTAACCATAATGGTGGTCGAGTAGATCATGTTGTGCGGGGTCGAGAAACCTCACTCCGCGCAACGGGGGATGATCGCACCTCGTTGTGTTAAAATGGTCAAGCTTCCTCGAGGCAGTTACACAGTGCTTACAACTGTCTCTGGAAGTGAAAGCCCCAGAAAATAAATTAATTCATACGTAGCTTTCATCCGTACGCAAGGAAGTAAGCACAAGATGCCGAACACCCTTAGCAGGATGCAGCTCACCCCTCATGCGACTCGCCAAATACCTCACGGCGCTTCGCGCTTGGTGATGTGAGAGCCTGGTCCGGTGAGAACCCGGCGTGCTCCGTCCCGGCTTTGTAGGGATGCGAGGTCAATGGTCAAACGATTACGGCATGCACGACTATGAGTACACCCCCCCCCCCCGAATGAGAGACCGATATCAATGAGGAGACTGAAACACTTTGTGCCAGCCAAACAATTCCAGGGTACAAATCTTGATGGGAGTATCCACCTCGCTCACAGTCGCCTCTGTACCCCCTTTCCGCCAACTACTCACCAGTCAATGTGTCCTTTGCCAATATGGTCGAATCTGGCTCCGGACAGCGTTCGTTCTGTGGAGGGGATGTGTCCTCGAGAGTAAAACCAGCTCTGCTCCCGCAAGATGTATGCAGCTTTGGCGGACATACACCACGAGGGACACGACTACTATTATTGACAGTTGGGGAGACCATCCTCATACAAACGCAAGTCAGGGGGGACCAAATACTATACCATATAATAATAATAATAATGAGTAGCTTTCACCTACGAAATGTTCGAATGCGGCGCGGAGTGCCTGTGGCGTCTCCGTCATAGCAACGGAAACGATACACCGACAAATACCCCGACAAAAGCCCGTGGCAAAACGCAACAGAGGAGCAGGGGCGACGCAGGTTGGAGACCACCCCCCTCTCTCCGCACCAGGCCCAGCTCTCGAGCCTCGTCTTTGCCCGTTACTCGCGCATGGATGGGGTGGAAAAAAAGAGATGTGTAACCTCAAATACCCCCAAAACAACCTGGGCCGCAGAGCGGAGACCGGGGGGCACGACGGCGTGAACCACGGCATGCGCTACCGGAACATCTAAGCGGGCCTCATGTACGACAACCAAGAGAACACCTGATACGCGAGAAACAAGTTGGCTTAGATGCCGCTGCCAGATCATCGACATGATGAACAACCTCCAACCAACGGGGCTCCCGGCATACCATCGACATGATGATGACCAAGTTCCAACAACAGGCACCCTCTCAAAGAGAACAGGATTGAGCCGAATCCCCTAGGTGAACAAAAAAAAAAGCAAACGGACGACTGATTGTACAGCAACACACCAAGCAGCCGACCAATGATGGAAAGCTCCCAAAAACAACCCGCCAGATCGCTCAATAATACTTGAATTAGCGACTTCACACACGGCTTCGGAGAGACAAGTGAACAACCAGCTGAGCAAAAAATAGTAAAAAGAGCCAAGACAAAGAAAGCTCTTGACCTATCGTCATGTTGCGATGCCCTCCTCTCTCGAAGGCGGGATTACACGCATGTGAAAAGTCTATTTCGCCTAAAGCACCAGCAGGCGGCCGAAGGCAAAACACACCTGCGAACTGTGGCTGCATCCTACACATCTGTGAACACCCCGCTGCATCCCCACTCACATGCACACACATCCCACCGCCACCGCACGGCACATGCAGAGCCACACGTAACAAAGACAGAAAATAGTCAAGAACTTGACCAACGACCAGGTTTCCACCCGAGAAAAATCCCACAGCAATAAAACCTGACACTCTAGCCGCTGTGTTAGTTTCTAGTCTACAGAGGAAAAAAGAGACAACAAGCCTCGGGTAAAATGACACGGAAAAATGTAGCGCATGATCCCTCCCGGCTCTTGTCCATCCCAGCTCGCCAACGCCCTCCACCTCCCGCTACGTCCTCTCGAGCACGCGCGACCAATGGTCGAAGGCAAGCAAAACACGAGTACGCCCCCCTACCACCAATACCCCTATGACTATCACCGCACATCCAAAGCCCCGAGACCCATTCCTCCTCGCTACGGGGAACGGAACACTACAGTCGACACCAGGGATAAACAATAGCACACCCCTGTACCGAGCGCTCACCCTGCGGCAGAACACACCACATACACTCACAGATTTGACCAGACAATTTAACAGTTACACTTTTTTTGTGTACGACAAAACGGGGTGAGAGATACGGTGCCCGTTCCATTATTTAACCGTGGCCGACACCCTACCCATCCGCCCTCTGCGGTGCCCCACAACGAGGCCCTCGTCGCCGCACGCCGAACCCTAGTAGAATACGAAACATGTTTAATACTGTTCTAGCACTTGAACCACGTACTGAGCAAACCAGACAAACAAAAAACAAACCAAACGAACAAGAGGGCCATCACGGCCCGGACATATCATCGGACACTCAAACACGAACGAACACAAAACCCTTTTCAGGCTGCTGCACAGCAAACGGGTGCATCGTTCCCGTGTTCCCAGTTATTCTACCGACTACATTACTATTGTTGCACTAAGAGTATGGTTCTCTAACATCGCGCGACGCTGATACACCCCGCGGGCTGCTGGACAGCAAAGCGCACACACTGTCCCCGTACTCCTACACGAACTAATCCTGTCGCACCGGGCGTTCCAAATCAGTCTTCCCGTTCCGAATCGTCCTTCCCGCCCGCCACCCCATTCTCCTCCCCCTCTCCGGCCGCCACGGCCTTCTCGGCTTCGTCCTCTTCACGCTGACTCTCGTCGTCATCTTCCTCCTCGTCATCGTCGTCATCATCATCGCCGATAAGCGGTGGCGGGTCCCTCCAAAAATTGAGGTCGGTGAACCTGTCCTCGACGGCGGCGCGGTTGGGGTAGAAGCTCTTCTCCCGCCGCGGCGCCACCTCCTCCCACCTCCGCGGAATCGTCGGGGCCCCCTTCGCCTTGGAACTCGCCGCCTCCTTCCCTCCGATTCCGCCGACGCCGCCGCCGCTGCTACCGCTGTCGGCCAGGGAAGGGCGGCGGCTAGCCTGACCTTTGCTCTTGCTCCCGTCGCCGCGTTCGCCTCCAAGCGCTGGGACAAATCCGTTGATATCTCGGCCGTCGGTATCGGCAACGGATGCACCGGTAGCGGGGGACACGCCTCCGCCGCCACCACAGCCGCCGCCGCCATCTGGACCGTCAGCACCGTCACCAGCCCCACCGGGTCCGCCGCCGCCGCCTGCAACGGAAGAAGACGACGATGACGACACCGACTTCGGAACCCCTGTCGAGCTCCCACCAACATCCTGGCCGCCGCCGCCGCCGCTGCCGCTGCCGCTGCCGCTGCCGACCGCGTCATCGATCTCGGCGTCAACATCACCGTCATCATCGACGTAGTCATCACCGTCGTCGTTGTCGGCATAGTAGTCCTCGACCTCGTGGCCGTCGAAGGAATCGTCCGCCCCGTCGTCGGGGAGGGGGGGAAAGGTGAGGTCGACGTGCCTGCTGAGGGACAGGTACGTCTGCCGGTACGTGTGGTTTATGTTGTGCAGCTCGCCCATGGAGTTGATCAGGAAGATGCGCCCTTCGGGTACCGCCATCTGGTTCAGGACGGGGGGGGGCACGGGGGGGGGGGGGGGCCAAAACTTGGTTTTATTTGGGAAAAGGGGGGGTTCCCCCCCGGGGGGGAAAAAAAAATACCACACAACACTGGCGGAGGGTTTGGGTGGGTATCCTTGGAAAACCTTCCAACCCCGGCCCAGTCTTTTGAATATATTTTAAAACCCGGGACCACCCCCCCTTT